CAGCATGTTAGGCTTAATGGCGAACAAGGCTGGGCCATTTTTCTTAACGAAAGGAATATAGATTTAGAATAATGCAAGCACTTTGTATAAATGCATGTTGATTTTTTTTTGTTGGATGGTGTGTAATATCTTAATTTAGCCCAAGTAACTCAGCTGACTTAGCATATCTGAAATTTTTTGCATGAATATATCTGAATAACAGTAGCCCATTTTATTAAGTATTGACTGTATTCTAATCAGTGCTGAATTACTTTTTGCTCAGTCCTCACATCAAGCTTGTGAATTTGATATTGTTTAGATGATATTACTGTTTTTCAGATGGGAAAATAGAGGTTTAGAGAGGGTAGGGTATTTTGTCAAGTCAACACAGAGGACTGAGTCTGCTTGTAGAGCTATGTCCATAGCGACTGCACTGCAATTTCTCTTTGAAGCAGGTTAATACTGCTTACCTCATAACTAGTCAAAAATTAGAACAATCCTTATGGAGCATTTTCATCTATTAGTTAAACTGAAGCCATTTTTCTAAGTCCAGTAAATAGCAACTGCAGTAAATAGTATTTCCCCAAATAAGAGTTTAATTCAGTCTGTTGAAAATGTGAAGCCAGATGTACTCTTGTCTTCCAGGCAAACTGAATGCCCAAACATTGAAAATTCATTAAATGGAGTTGGCATGTGATGAGCTGCACAGTTACAGGGCCAGCATGTGTGTACTTTGTCTCTTGCTAGAAGAAGGTGTGTTTTAATGAACCCCCACTAACAGAGTGATGACTACATAGTCATTGATGTTGCCTATTGCTGACTCACTTTGATGCCTTTGATGGAAGACTCTAGGTAGGAAAATTTCTATAGTAATAAGGTTCAGGGAGAACTGGAACTGTTTTCTGCACTCTAGACATTTTTGTCACTGCCCGTACTTCATCCTGATCAGCTTTGTAACTTTGTGCTGTCAGGCTTTTCGATGCCTTTCAAGAGCAGAAGGCTCTGAGAGTGCTCAAGAAATGAAACGCAGCCCAGAGTTCCCCTGTTCCTTGTGGCTTCTGAAAGGTCAGGTACCTAACCTGTTATGCCATTTGGTAGGCTGCTTGTATAGCACTTTGTTATCTTTATGTTTACTTTTTCTTTAGTTTGTGTTTATGATAATTGTTTCTGGAGGTTTGGAGTACGTGAATGCTTAATCTCAGATGAGGTATGACTATCCAGTTGATTGAATAAGAAAAATGGTAAGAGTATGTGGTAGGAGGCTGACGTCAATAAATTGAATAAGTCTCCCTTTTTATTTATTGTTGTGTTCTTCCAGACCTGCCTAGTTATGTTAAATATGCCTGACCTTTTCCCCTGCTTGCCTCTCAGGGCCTCAATGTGCATATAAAGGCTTCCAATGTGATTAGCATTGATGCTTCTGAGATTGCATGGAAACTAGAGTCAGAGATAAATTGTGGGTCTCAGCAGTGGTCAGCCCAAGAGGCTCTGACATCTGCTTCTTGCCTGGTTTGGAAATGTTGCTAGGGCCATATGGCTGAGAGCCTCACAAAGGAGCCAGCAGTGACTTTCTGGCTCAGTCCTAGATTATATATTTTAAACGAGTAGTTGAAGTGCTTCAGGCTTGATTTACTGTATACTAATGGGTGAATTTGTAACTTAAAATGCCATGGGGGCTTGTGTATGGGTGTGTGTAGAATTCAATTTCAGTAATGTTAACAGTATTCCATTCGAGGTTTTATTAAACTATATTTTTTTTATAAGTAAGGAAAGAAAAGCACTAGTTAATATGTATCTGACCCTTGATTGACTTCTTCCCTTGAAAATGCAGCTGTTTTGTTTAGAACAAAGTGAGGTGGCCTGACCAGCTCTTTCTGTTTGCTTGTTTAAATAATCTCTAGGGGCTGGGGAGATAGCTCTGAGGTTTAAGTGCATGCCCTGCTGGCTCTGGAAACCCAGGCACACCGTGTCAGCCACAATTACAGGTGTGGTGGGGCATGCCGTAATCTTAGCACTGCGGAGGCTGAGACAAGAGAATCACTATGAGTCTTACTACGAGTCTGAACTGCCTAGTGAGACCCTGTACCAAATAAATAAATAGACAGACAGACAGACAGATGCTTTTTTAAAAATTTTTAAAAGATAATCTCTAATTATCATCTAGTGAAGTGCTAAAATGTCTTCCCTATATGCACAAAGGTTATTACTTCTTACCTCATAGCTCATCAAAGCTATATGTGTCTCTTTATATACATGCTATATGTAAATGCATGCTGTTCATATACCTGTATACATATGTGGTGCTGACTCAAAAAAATATGTCTCCAAGTATACATATCAAGACTTAGAAAACCATTGGGAAGTTTTAAAAAATTAGATGTTGGTTGGTTATTATGAATCTATCTTTGCCTCTCAGTGTCTCAGAGTTTGTGTCTCATATCCTTCCTTGTCTCCACACCAATTCATTCAGCCTCTTTGCCTTCCCTCTACCATCTTTCTTCCTTCTCCCTTGCCCTATCCCTCACGTTGTATGTACATCATTCTTGTACTGGCTTTCATTCATGCTTTACTACCTGTATATTTCTGTTATTTTCACTTGTTGCCATAACAGGCCTATCCTTTTTTTTTATTTATGTGGCTATACATAGCACAATAAAATGACCTAAAAGTCAAGTCTGAGATTTTCACAAAAATTTTAAACTTGCTTCAGTCTTGCTTCAGTATGTCTCCATTCCACCCCAGACCCATACCCCCATCCTGAAACTGTCACAGAGATAGTTACGCAGTGATTTTAAATAAGGCTTGAAACAATGAATAAACGAAATGCTTTGAGATTTTGCTTAATTTGTACCTTTTAGATTTGGACTTGCAAAATAAACATTGATTCACATTTCTAGCAATAATAACAGGTATATAATCTTCTGGGAAACTTCTTATCACTAGGATAGTAAATCTCTACCCTCAAGAGGCTCCTCAGGTTAATAATTTGACATCATGGTTATGAAATATGTGGACTTTTGTGTAACCTTATAAATAGATGACCACATATAGAAGCTGGGGATACTTTTGCTGTTTGTATTTTTGGGGAATTACTCCTTAAGGGCAGGAGCCATTTTCTCCACTCTCAGCAAAAGTTCTTTTCCCCCTAATGGAATTGTATAGTGTATTACTTCATCTCTAGAAGGAGGTGGCAGTTGCTTGTTATAGTCAAACTGCTTCCCTCTTCAAAGTAGGAAGCCTAGAGAGGGATTTTGCAATGGGGCCCAAGGTATCATTTAGTAAATCATATTTATTGGTGTAGGAGGTTTAATTAAACTGCCAAACAGGTTCTTCATTTTGACTATCATTTTGATTTAAACATGTTCTGTTCTCCGACATATTGTAGCAAAATCAAGCTGAAACCTGCACTCTCAAAGAACCTTATTTTTTTAAGCTGGAAGCTGGATTTTAAGAGTATGTGTATTCAAATATTTTAGATAAATTATTTGAGTAAAAAATACCATGCAATCATTCTTAAAATCTTTAAAACAGATTAGATTTAAATTAGGTGTAGATACTACCTAACATTTGTGTTCATAGAGGGAAATAACTATTTATAAGTTGCTTTTCCTGAAGTTGACCTTGAATACCAGCTTCAGATCATTGTAAATAGGATCATTTGAAATCTGCATTTCCTTTCCTTTTCCTAATTCATTTCAGTAGCTCAATAGGATTTTCTCATGAAATTAACTTCTCTTTCTCTGCATAGTTACATAAGCTTGGTCTTCTAATCATGAAAAATGTTACCCATTTCAGCACTTATTAAGGTAGACTTTTACTTGAAGGGTTTCTGAATTTAAAAGTCAGAGTATGTGACTAGAGGCAAAAAATGCTCATCATTTATAGCCACTGAATTTTCCTGTGATTTTTAAGTGACCTTGGAAAGCCAGATCTTATGCCCGCAGAGCAGGCTTTTGTGTGAGAAATCTTTTAGTGAACTACTTACTCAGGTCATATGTTTCTAAAAGCCCTGCTTTTCTTTCCTCAGGATAAATTGAATTATGTGTTACCAGTAACAATGCCATGTAATTTCAAAGAAAACCAGATTAAGTCATGCAAATCCAGGTTGCTGGAAACTGGGTAACATATGGCAGTATTAAGTTTTCTAAGCACAAGATCTGCCATAACAAAATGCCACAGACTGGTCGGCTTACACAACAGAAATTTACTTTTTCACAGATCTGGAAAGTAGACATCCCAGATGAAGGTGCTGAGTGATTCAAGTCCAGATGAAAATATTTTTCCAATCTTGACTATTACCTTCTCTTTCACCGAATAGAAAGTGCTCTGGTGTCTCTAGAAAGACCCCAATCCTGTAGGATTAGGACTGTACTCTTGCAGCCCCATTTAGCCTTTACCATTCCTTCACAGGTGCTATCTCCAAATACAGCCATATTGGGGATTCCAGCTTCACTGTGTGAGATTTGATTAAAAATTATGGGTAATGTTTAAATTTTTTAATTATACTATAGTAAAAGATACATTGTATTTAATCTCCTTCAAAATACTCCCCACCCATTTTGAACACTTATCTCATTGTTCTTGCCATTTTCTGAAGCAGTTCTGGAAGTCTTCTTTCTTGAGTTGAGTTTTTGGTTGTGCTGTCATGACTGCCTGAAGATTCTGAACTGATTCAAAATGTTTGTCTTTCATGGTCAGTTTTACTTTGAAGATGCTCTAGAAGTCCTATGGATGTGGTGAATTAAAGTGAATGAGGACACACCGTAATGTTTTTTACAGAACTGCCTTTTCATTGGCTAACTCTCAGCAGCAGCATTCACCAAATTTCTTAGCATATCTTGTAAAGACACTTAGGAAAGAGGACTTTCACAACTTCTTCAGGGCAAACCCAAAGCAGCCTTCCAGTTCTCTGTCACAGAAAGAACTTTTATTGAATAGCAGCAATGTAAATTTACTGTTTTATGAGTCTTTAAAGCATTATAAAGTCATCCTCCATCATCTTTGTTTGTGGTCTCTTTCAGATTGTTTGAAGGACGTTCATCAAGGAAACCAGAAAAGCTTAAAACACTCTTCTGCTACTTTCGAAGAGTCACAGAGAAAAGTAAACTTTAAATTTTTAGTGTAATTTTCCTTGCTGATAAGAACAGTTAAAGTGTTGTGGGAGAAACATTTCAAGTACTTCTGTCCAAACTATATTTAAACAATAATGTTATTATCTAAATTTTTTGTGTATGTTATCTGTGTACACAAACATGTACTATGAATGCATGTGAATTTTTTTAATTTGAAAATCAGACTCAAATGAAATATATACATCAGAAGCTTTTTATGTGTAAAGCCAGTAAATTGTTTTCAAAAGAAAGTATATTGACCAGAAGACACATTTTAAATGCTCTTTATTTAAAGAAAGAATAACAAGAAGCAGTTTATTTGTCCATTTATAGTATGGGCTATGTAATTCACTGGCTTTCTACTTGTTTATGTTCCTCCAAAGCTCTTTGTACTAAAACTGGCTTATACCATTTGCATGTGCCTTCCTGTGTTGTGCCTTAACCATCTGGCTTTCCTGGCACCTAATGGTTGCCCTGGGGCACAGGTAGTGAATGTTCAACACATGCTCTGGCAATAAGAAACTGAGAATAGACTGCTATTACCACTCTTATCTCAAGCTCACTGACCATAGCTCACTCATGTCAAGCTCAGTGACTAGCACCAAGTTTCTTAATACCTCAGTGCTTCATTTTTCTCATCTATACAATAAAACAATGGTTTCATAGGGTAGTTGCAAATACAAAACAAAATATATGCTTAATATTTTCATTATTATCAACACATAATGTATGGATCAGATTTCGATTGCTAAGACACAGTACCTAGTACCTGCAATTTGAGCTTTTGATTTCAAAGGATTCAGACTAAAGCTAGCTGAATCAAATTTGAGGGCAAAAGCATCAAGGTAGAAGAGTAGGACAGACCAAAGATACTTAATGGCTACCAATAAGCAGAGAAGGAGAATAGTGCCAGAGAGAGACCAGGACCAAATGTACCATAGTACCCAAGGTCACAGCTCAGTGACCCACTCAGGCAGACACAAAAGATACTTTATGCATTTCTTAATCCAATCAAACTGACATATCAGGATTATCGGTCACAGGTAAACTTTCCTACAAATTGTAATCATGGAAACTAGGACATCTTAAAAATTTCCATTTATAATCAGTTAAATCAATTCTGTTCATGTGAAATGAGTTCTTTTCTATCCTAGTTATCAGCTTGTATTATCATAAACCACATCTTAGACTCATTCTAAGGTCATTTTTTTCATACTGATTTAATCCTGTCACAGTAAGCATTACATTTTTCCCTACTGAATGGAATGTTTTGGGACACCGTTCAGGTTTTTCAAAATTAGCTATCAGGATGTTCACATTTAAGGAGAAAAACTAACTCTTTCATAGCTTACTGAATTTTTGGTTTCTGAGTTGTTTGGAATGAAATATTAAGGAAAATGAAAGGGTTATTTTGGATTTTGAAATAAAATCAAATTCAAATTTATGATTTGTTAGAGAGATGGCTACATTCTTGTCTGAATTTCAATAGGATTGATAAAAATCTGAGTTTACTTTTCTGTCCTGAAAATCAAATCATATTTCTTCTCTGAAAGGTAATTTATCTTTCTGAGGTGTAGTATTTCAAGTAATTTGAGGGAAAACCTTGCAGATTGTTTTTCTCAACTAGAAATATATATGCCATCATAAGTCTTGGGAGTTAGATTGAAGAAATAAATTGTAACCAGATATTTTATTTTCTGGCTTTTTCACTATTCATGGTAATTTAGGGGTTTTTTATTTGCTTGTTTATTTGTTTTGTTGTAGAATGTAGTAAACATTTGACTGCCCCATTTGACTTTAGAGTCTCCCTTGGCAGAGCCGCTAGGTGGCAGCAGCAGCAGATACCCATCTTGGAGAAACTTTTATCCATTATAAAAACCTATATTCTGTTAAGAAACTTAATATGCAGTGGGAAACGCTCACAATTTTGGAATTGATAGAAAAAAATTCCATCAGAACCAACTTCTTCTCAGTGTCATTAAACATCTAGTTATATATTCAGGATGAAGATCTCAAGATTGAAAGATTTTAAAGAACCTTCTGAATTATTTTTAATGTAGTTTTAGATAAAAGTATCTTGTAGTTAACATTTAACAATCAGTGATCCACATAAAGTATATATTGTGATTTTTTATTAAGAAGATACTTAATTAACCAAAATACCCTATTTTAAAGTAAAAGTTGCCACTTAATGAGAAAAGCTAATACTCATTCTCAAAAGCATCTACTAATTACACCTAAGGAACAAGTACTTCTGCCTTTTCTCTTTCTCAGCAAGTGTTTATGAATTTCTTTTGGCCTCTTAGTGTATTTGAAGGGCATTTAATGTTCATTCTTTTCTGCTAAATCTGAATGATCAGATAGACCTTCGTTTCCTGTTGAAGAATTATTTCACTAGTATTTGGATGATTTCACCTCTTGTGAGTTTTCAGTATGCTGTTTATTTGTCTTAAAAGTTAGATCTCTGGAATATTTTAAAACCCATGTTAACAGAAGTTTGTTTTCCAGTACAGCTGTTCCATATGATTATTGAGTTGTTTGACTGGAAGCAAAGAAATGCTCTTAGGCTTTTACGGCCTCAACACCATCATGTTTAATCATTCTTCACCTCTCG